ACCAATATTATATTTCAATACATGCTTGAAGTGAGCAGTTGAAATCTGCCCTGCCCAGCTCTGCTTGCAACAAAAATGCTTCTGCTCCTGGTGGTGATACAAACGGCAGTGGTGTAGGGTAGTAAAAGAGGTATCAACTGGGGGACAGTAAGTCAAAACATAAAAATGCTGAATGTGAAGGGGAGAGAGGGAAGGGGGAGGAGGGAGCACAAATCGAGATATCATTCAAGAATAGGCGAAGGACAAGCAGAACCATGAGAGGGTAGATGAGTTATACAGTTATAACGAAGGAGAGCAAGGAATTAGGCAAAGAGGAAATGAGGGCGAGAAGTACAAGCATTTACGAGTCTCTCAACTTTGATCATTTTCACAGGGCTACAAGTGAGAGGTGAGAATGGGAAGGAGTGTGAGGAGAAGAGTAGAGCAAGCAGTGCTACGCAAGGGAGAGATGAACAGGGGAGTGAGGTTAAGGACCAGGGAAGTTAAGCTACTATTACCGTAGGTTATTTTAAAGGATCATAAGAGAGGCGAGAATGGGAAAATTTGTCAATACATGTGAGAATGGGAGAAGAGGTGACCAGGTAGTGGCAGGCACACACATGGGATCATTTTTTAGTCGACTCGATGAGACGATTTTTGAGTCGACTCAAAAATCGTCTCATCACACGCGGGTGGCCAGGTAGTGGCAGGCACATATGGGATCGATTCTTGGCGCGTCAATAGTGCGTGCGGCAAATGCTGAGGAACCGCAAAAATGGAGAAGTATGGGGAGAAGAGCAGAGCGGACAGTGGTGCCGGGAGTGGGTAAAATCAAAGTGACAGGTAGGGAAGGTGAGGAAAAGAGAGCGAGGGACGGGGAGTGAGAGAAGGGAAGCAAGCAGGGGAAGGGGAGTGCAGGAAAGGGGGAAAGGAAAGTGCAAGTGAGTGAAAGAAGTGATAGGTAAGTGGGTTGGGAAGTTTTGAAAAGGGAGCACACAAGGAGGTCAAGAAAAAAGGGGAAAAAAAAAGAAGTGTTACAATTACCGACCTTTTACACGTGGCATTGGCCACGTTGGGAAGTGGATGTTTACTGTCAGAAGGGTGGGGTCCAAATGCTACCCTGGTGGGGTTGGGAACATGTGCACGGTGTGTGCACGGTGTGCATGGTGTGTGCACGGTGTGCATGGTGTGTGCACGGTGTGCATGGTGTGTGCACGGTGTGCATGGTGTGTGCACGGTGTGCATGGTGTGTGCACGGTGTGCATGGTGTGTGCACGGTGTGCATGGTGTGTGCACGGTGTGCATGGTGTGTGCACGGTGTGCATGGTGTGTGCACGGTGTGCATGGTGTGTGCACGGTGTGCATGGTGTGTGCACGGTGTGCATGGTGTGTGCACGGTGTGCATGGTGTGTGCACGGTGTGCATGGTGTGTGCACGGTGTGTGCACGGTGTGTGCACGGTGTGCATGGTGTGTGCACGGTGTGTGCACGGTGTGTGCACGGTGTGCATGGTGTGTGCACGGTGTGCACGGTGTGTGCACGGTGTGCATGGTGTGTGCACGGTGTGCACGGTGTGTGCACGGTGTGCATGGTGTGTGCACGGTGTGCATGGTGTGTGCACGGTGTGCATGGTGTGTGCACGGTGTGCATGGTGTGTGCACGGTGTGCATGGTGTGTGCACGGTGTGCACGGTGTGTGCACGGTGTGCATGGTGTGTGCACGGTGTGCATGGTGTGTGCACGGTGTGCACGGTGTGTGCACGGTGTGCATGGTGTGTGCACGGTGTGCATGGTGTGTGCACGGTGTGCATGGTGTGTGCACGGTGTGCATGGTGTGTGCACGGTGTGCATGGTGTGTGCACGGTGTGCATGGTGTGTGCACGGTGTGCATGGTGTGTGCACGGTGTGCATGGTGTGTGCACGGTGTGCATGGTGTGTGCACGGTGTGCATGGTGTGTGCACGGTGTGCATGGTGTGTGCACGGTGTGCATGGTGTGTGCACGGTGTGCATGGTGTGTGCATGGTGTGCGCGTGGTGTGTGCATGGTGTGTGCATGGTGGGTGCATGGTGTGCGCATGGTGTGCGCATGGTGTGTGCATGCGTGTGTGCATGTTTCCGTGGCCCGAGCGTATGTGTGTGTCTGGGAGTGCGCGTGTGTGCGCGCGAGTGTGGTATGAGCGTGTACACGCCATGTGTGCATAATGTGTCTGGGCGGTTGTGCGTGTTTGGTACGAGCGTGTGCGTCTTAACCCCCACCGTTTCGCAGAAATCCGGCGCTGCTACCCCCACCGCTCCCTCCGCCGCTCCCCCCACCGCTCCCCCTCGCCGCTCCCCCTCTGAAGTGCGCGCCGATCCATAATGTGTCTGGGCGGTTGTGCGTGCTTGGTATGAGCGTGTGCGTCTTAACCCACACCACTCCGCTGAGATCCGGCGCTGCTATCCCCACCGTTCCCCCCACCGTTCCCCCCACCGTTTCCCCCACCGCTCCCCCCACCGTTCCCCCCACCGCTCCCCCCACCGTTCCCCCCACCGCTTCCCCCACCGCTCCCCCCACCGTTCCCCCCACCGTTTCCACCACCGCTCCCCCCACCGTTCCCCCCACCGTTCCCCCCACCGCTCCCCCCACCGCTCCCCACGCCGCTCCCCCCGCCGCTCCCCCTCGCCGCTTCCCCTATGAAGCGCGCCGATGCGGCGCCACCACGCAGTAGTAGATGCCTGAAGCTACACTTGCTTGGAGCTGCCTTGATCTTCCGCGCGTTTTCCGCGCGCCACTCTCCCTGGAATGAGAAAGGAAAAACCCTAACCGAGGGGGGGATCGGCGGTACGTCTATCCCCTGTGGTGGATACTAGCATTTGATTAAATCGTGTGAAGCTACACTAACCTGGAGCTGCCTCGAAGAGTGAGCTTCGGCGTTGAAGGCAGCGTGTGCGTGTAGCGAGCCAGTCCATAACGAGGAATTTACTAGGAATGGGTAGTGCGACGAGCGACGAACGTTGAATTGCGACAGTGAGTACGACAGTGCATGCGACGGTACGTGCGACATTCCGTGCGACAATTCTTGAGACATGGCGTGCGAATCTTTCCGCTACATTGACTTGCATCAAGACCAGAAATCCCCAGTGGTGAACTGCCGAGCCGCGAGGAAAAGTGGCGAAGGGATGACGAAACATTATAAAGCCTGTTTATGAAAGGAAGATGTACTGTTTTGCATTTTTCACCTTTGAAACCTTCTAGCAAGTCAGTTCATATCGGAACAATATGTAAGCTTTCACATCCTGCCAACCCTTATTGACCTCCCTTCCCCACGCGAGTTCTTGAGCAAACTACAACGTGCCAAGCCTGGTTGGCCTCCCTTCCACACGCGATTTCAGCGAACTATCTCGCCAGAACTTCCATTCCACTGTTCGTTTTCCTAGCTACCTGCAGATACAACCGACCACCTGAGATCAGGCCTGTAGTGTCCTTCGAATGGCCCGGAAGGACGTCACAACGCATGACGATTTTTAGTAGCTTGAAGAAACCGAAACTTCCTTTCATCGCGAAAATGGCAAGCTCGGAAAGCAACTCGAAATACACTCTTCCGAAACTTTCCCGATATTTTTTGCCCGGCACTTTTGAGTCAAGGTTTTAGAACTGCATGGCCACAGTCACTTACAAAGTAACTTCGCGTTCACCTTCCCGATGCATTCTGTACATATGCGTGCATCAAATTAGACACTACACCCGCATCCGTGCAGTTGCTCATCAATCATGGGCTGCGCCACACAAAAGTTTACCCAACCATACCATGCCAACCAACTACAAAGTGACGAGTAAGCAACCCCATCTGCCACACCGTACGCGCCCACCCACGTGGCATCCAGTATCAACCCGCACGTCCACGTAAGCGTTTAGGGTTTATAACGTACCCGCACCCCAACCGTTGGATGCACATTCGGGTCACGCAATCGCGACGGTTCACGTGTCTCCTGTACATAAACTCGCACATGCCAGCGCACAGACAGCGCCAGTATCTTCACCGTCCATCTGATCGATGCTCACCCTGTACATACGTGACAGTTGGTGCCAACCCACAGGTGCGCTAACCGCAAATCACTCGTTCAATACCCACTAGCATGCTACCATGTCGCATCACTCTACTTGCGCATCGTGCGTCCGCAGCCTACACTACATTGCATAATCACCGTACACCTGTCACGCCGCCACCGTTTCGTACACTTCGCCATATTACTCGCCACCCAGTAGTTTTTCACACGCTACTAGGTGACGACGCCATCTGCGTCGTCCATCAGTGGACATCGTCTCTACCACCGAGCTGTCGCGTCACGCACACGTATTCGATCTACCCCGTACACTTGCCGGTCGATCCCGTTCTCGCACATCTAGTAACCAGTTACCATCTCATCGTTGCACTCGTTCGCGTCATCTGCACGACACAATCACGACCGTACAACTATCTCACCCTCCGCGCATATCACACCGCGTTTCCAACCGTCAACCTCATCTTCGCGTCCGTACTGGATGGTGACACGCGTAGTCCACCGTGTACGCCACTGTGCAATTGGTTCCTCGTCATCTCTTATCCATGTTGAATATCCAACCAGATGTCAACGCGTGCGCACCGTGAAGACTCTTACGTCCACACATTTACGTGACATATGGCACACTCCGTGAAACGCGCCGCAACATGCGGCGCGTTCCACGCCATCCCGCACACCTGGTGGACGGCCTGGCTGATGCATTCCGCATCCTAGTGGTGTAGGTGTTGTGCTATCATCTGCATCAATACCCCAATAAAGCCTCCTCACATTAACGTTGGAACGCACACACAAACATACTACGCAACCATGCATACAACTAACCCCCGTAACTTCCATTAACACACATGCAAAAACCCGTGCACACTAAACTGCTACTCAAGACCCACAACCAGAAGAGATAATGATGCCTGAGACACCTCTCCACCACCTGTCCCCTCAACGGTCCGCAACACGATCCATGACGCCCCCCACGCCAGTCGGCCTACTCAGCACCAACTGACGCCGAAAGGTCGTCATCCCCCACAAGGTCTTCGGACTGAGCTGTGGCGGTGGGCTTCATGTGCTCCAGGCCGCACGCAGAGATGCGCAGTCCATGGCGGCCCCAGGTCCACGCCTCGCGCTCCGCGTCATACTCCGGGTTGCGGATCCGGATCGCCCTCTCCACGGCCTCCTTCACCAGGACCTTGAGGCCGTCCACAACGTGGGCGTTTCCCCCGGCCGAGTTGGAAAGCCGGCCTTTCCTCTCCTCCCAGTAGAGGACGCAGTCGGAGACCTGCGGAAACACCCAGCTTGTCACTCAAATGGTACGACAGTACAACGCAAAAACCGTGCACACATTGAGCGCACAAACTCACCACATGCTCCAACCAGGCCAGGTGGTACACCTTCAGAGTCATCACCAGCCCGGCCTTCTTAGGCCTGAATGCAGCCTTCGCGCATGTCGCGAACGCCCGAGAGGCAAACGGCATGCCGTCCCGGTCTGTCGCCCAGCTCGTGAGCACCAGGGTTTCTGCACACCATATGCGCACAGTCAGTGTCAATGGCCGCCATACACTCATTGTCAGCATACCAACACGTAGGCGACCCCACCTGCTGTCTTCATGGCACTCACCAGGGCGGTCAGCGCCAAGCCCAATGCGCTCCCGGATCTTCTCGATACTGCGCTCCTTCTCTGGTGCCCACGGGCTGGATGCGTCCCTGTCGTCGCGGAACAAGCCGAGCTTGGGAAGTGCAATGTCTCGCACGCGGGCGGCGGCCCGCGTCTTCCACTCAGAGAGCGTCTTGTTGAGGTCCGCGCGTCGCGACTTGTCAGCCGCCAACGCCAAGCACGCGAAGCTATGCGGCAGGCGGTCCAGCACCGCACACACTCCATGAGTCTTATCGTCGCTGCTCGGGTAGAAGGTCATCGTCGACGTCGGCCTGTTGAGAAACATGTGCACCCTGGCGAGCTCGCAAACCCTCTGCGCACGTATGGTGTACACGATGAACAAAGTAAGCGTCATCCGATGAGCGTCAACTGCACATCAGTGCACTCCAAATCGAAGACGGTTCAATAGACCCCTCCGGAAACATGCCCGCTCACCTTCCACGCCTTGTCCGTCGGCAAATGCTCCAGCGTGCGTTGCAGAATAGGGGACTTTGCGGTATGCATATGACGGCCACCAGAACCATGCGTGTCGTCCTCGTCGTCCTCGCCCTCGTCGTCGGACCCTCCACTCCACGTCTCGCCACGCTGACGCTTCGGGTTCATACACCCCTGTCCCGGGTCTCTCTGCTTCTGCGCCTTACGCTTACGAGAGCCACCGGAAGGCCGAGACATCGCATTCAAGAACAGCGCCTCCAACCGCGCGTTCTCCTTGGCGCTCTTGTCCTGAGCCTGTATAAGTTGCTCGAGGACCCTGCTCGGGATGCGCACGTCATCGCCGTTTGGGTTCAACGTGTTCCCGCATGTGCGGTCCACAGGTCCGTCCGCATGTCCTCGGCCGTCACCTCGAGGCACATCCGTGTCCCGCGCGCCTTGGCTTGCGCGCGTGTCAGCATTGGGCGCAGCGGTTCCCGCACACCCATCGTCGTTCGTCTTCGCCTCCGGAGCAGGGTCGGCGGATTCTTCGTGTGAGGCGCTAGCCGATGTGTCTGAGCCTTCCTCGTCATCCTCCTCGCTGCGCTCGGACGAATCTGCACTTTCGGCGCCCGTCCCGTCATCTGTGGGTGAGCGAAACACCAGAAAGGCACAACACCCCAAGTTAGCAAATGGCATGTCACTGGGGTCCGAGTTTGTTCAGAGCGGACAAAAAACAGTAATAACGTCATGACACATCCACACATGCTCGGGCTGCATACCTTGCTCCGGCTGCACCACCTCCTTTCCCTTCTTGGCTAAGCTCAGGCGCTTAGGAATGGTCGCCCCACGTTTCCCGTTCGACAGTCGACCTCGCGGCATCGTCAGCTGGTACGACGCTCGCAGGTACGCCGGCGGGAGTGAGACACGTCGCGACCGGCCTCCACCCCTCGTATCGTCGGAAGCAATTGAGGTATCCATTTTCGCAAGGGAAGTATGCAGTGAGTTGCTTTCACAATGACGCTCAATACGATATTTCTACACAAAGTTGGGGGCCCAAATTCTTAACACGCCGGAGCACCGTGTACACAATGAGTTTGGTAGGCAAAACTACCACGTACACATCTGGATGATCGCAATCCGAAACGACGAATAGATGGACACCACGTCAACGTACCTAGTGATGCATGTGTGCACAGCAGAACCACACACTGCGCACATCCTGTTGACATAACCGTATCCATAGTCCTCGTTTGTGTTGCCATCAGGCTCGCAAACCGGTTCTCGGTATTCAGTGATTTCATACACCACTTCGTAATATAGCACACCAAGTGCACGATTACACAACCGGATTACAACACATGTCGGTCACACCATGTACGCACACGTCGTAACGTTTATTACACATGCATACATGCACACTACAGCAAGCGCTGTACATTAGCAAGTGCAATACAAAACTAAGCTACTACGTGCACGACCTGTCTCCCATATGCTTTGTCTATACATCCACTATGCAGCAGGGCCTGACGTGTTCTCATGTGCACCAGTGTCTTCCCCTCGCTCTTCCTGCTCTTTGTTCTTTGCACCCCCGCCCTGCTCGCTCACAGGGGCCGTCCCCCCACTCTCCGCATTGTCGGGGACCTCTGGTTCGTTGGTAGCCATGGTGTTGCTATCCACCACCCTGTGCCTCTTTGATGTACCTGTGGCACCCCCACGCTTCCTGCCACGTTTCAGCTTGCTGCTCACGCTATCCAGCGCCTCCCGCCAGCTCCTCCACCTCCACCACTTCCGCGCTTCCACCAGGATCTGCAAATCTTCTTTGGTGCAACCACGCAGCATCGCCTTCTCTGCGGCTGACAGGCTGACCGTGTTGGGTATCTTGTCACGTGGCCTCAGCACGAACGCACCTGCGGCGTACGCGAACGCCCCCTCTTCCTCCGTGGTGTACGCTCCCAGCCGCTGCTGCTTACGCTTTCCACCTTCCTTAATCAGGATCTTCATGCCGTACTTGCCGGATGCTTTATCCAACTTCACACCCGTGTATCTGAAGGCACACACTTCGTCATCATCCTCCTCGTCGTCTGTGTCTGACACGAGATCCTCCTCCTCTTCGGCCTTCACCGTCTCCTTCCCTCGCGTGTCTCCCCACACGTCAGCTCCAGCTGGCACACCCGCCCCGAGCAGGTGCATCCCGCGCGTGAACATCCAGTGAGGTATGGTCCCATGCGCAAGGTGCGGGTTCTGCAGCAAGGTCGATGTCGGCTCACATGCAGCGAACGTGGAGGCCAGCGCAACCCGGGTGGCATTGCGCACGCCATCCTCCTCAGGACTGCTGTCATCCCGCCTCTTACGTCTAGACGGACGCTGTGGAGTGCGTGGAGCATTCTTGGTGCCACCCGCCTCTGCTTTCGCGCCGGTCCCCGCGTGACCCCCATGCAGCAGTAGTTGGGTTGCAGCTGTCACCACCTCGTCCCGCCTCAGCCCTACAAAGTTGGCGAGTACGGTGAAGCTGGCGTCCAGGTACCTCACATCGTTATTCAACGTCGCCAGTCGCCTCATCATCTCCGTAACCCGTGCGTCCTCCACAGGGCGAGTGACCGGAGCTTGCCTCCCCTCTCCCATAGCAGCGTTCCTCTCCTGCACCACTGCCCCCTCATCGGTAACCCGGCCTTCGTCCTGCGGGGGGATTTCAATCCCCAGGTCCTCCAGCTGTTTAATAAGATCTCCGCACGCGTGTGCACACAAGTCGCGCCGCATCTCCCGCCTGTATTGGTGCGGTGTCACACCCTGGAACCAGAGGCCGTTCAAAACCGTGGTGAAGTCGGTATTCACCAGGGTCTTGAGGTACTGACAAACAAAAATCCCACAGTCCTCCTTGTTAGGCTGCTGTGGCAGCTTATCCTCCTGCAAATACGGGACCGCATATGCGAGTTAGAAATCAGTATACTTGCGGGCGCTTACTGCACATTGGTATCCACAGAGTCCGGTTGCATGCTCACCCGTAGAATGATGCAGTCCGCCTCTGTCAGCATCTTGTCCACAAACTCCATGTTCGCGTTTGGGTTACTCGCCTTGGCGAGTTCGGACAGCACGCTGCACGCAAGAGGCCAGAGGCGTTTTTAAATACCGACCATGTACGACAACTGGAGACATTGTCATTAAAACCATGACTCACAGCTTGGTTCCTGCAAAAATCTTGCGGGTATTCCGATTCTTGATGGAACTGTCCAGCAAGACCAACGTCATGCGCTCCTTGCCCGTAGATTTCGATGACTTGGTGAGCACCGATGGACCTATAGCGATGACGAGGGAATAGTGTTCACTGCGCTCAACATGAGGGGGGTTAAACGGATTAGTTGTTAGACAGTACACCCCGGCTCACAACAGAAACCACTCACAAGCACTTTATGCACGATACTCACGACTCGAGCACCGGGATCGCCAGATAATCGTGATCCAGAAGTGGCCGCCCGTTTCCCAGTGTTACCGGCGCTCCATAGTCATTCGTCTGTGTGTAAGCCTTGCAGTCCATAGCGGCCCATGTCTTCCCATCACGGAGCTTTGGCTTCCTGATGCTAAGCAGCCTGCCGAGTGCACGAAAAAGTTCATATCAGCACATCAGGGTCCGCGAGATCCGTAATAATCGCGCAACATGTCGCGTCAGGGGTGTGACTGTCGGAACGACACTTACACGTTGTGGAAGTCGATCACACCATCAGTAATCCACTGATCGTCCTCTATGGACATGAGGTCGTCCTTATCCACTTCACATCCGACACCGCGGTGATTCATGAGCTTCATGTTGCTGTACGATGATTTCACATAATTCCGGGCGATAGTGGCCACCAAGTCGTCCGGCACCGGCTCTCGCGCCTTTTCCACCACATGATTCGCGAACTTCTGAGCCCTATTGTCGGCCTTGTTCGACGACCTGGATCTGGTGACGGGCGGGGCAGCATCTTGGTCATCGGAGCTACTGCTAGTCTCCGGTTCATAGAACCGGTTGCGCTTAGAGACCAACTGCTTAGGTTTCGCCATCATGAACGAACACTGACAGGCATTCGGAAGACGAAGGGAGATTAATACGTGAGCACGGAGGGGATGACTGGGTGAGCACAGCAACTATGGGATCTCGCGACAATGGCACTATTCGGAAGGAAGGGGAGAGCAAGGCGTAACCCTTGCCTACAATGTCCAGCTGGTGCGAACGTCATGTATATACCCAATGGTCGACACCGTTGGCGCAACATCGCATGCGATGTCCAGGTGTGATGCGACAACTCGACTGGATGTGATGGTGAGGTGCCAAGCAGATCCACGTGTGAGAAGCCTAGGGTTTCGGTTGATGTGGTCCTCGGTGTGGGTGGTTTACCAAACCCGGTGCATGGAATACATTGTGGTTTCGCCATTTGAATACGATTTATTGCGGAAGCCGAATGACGCGGAAACCGATAACGACGTACGCGGTAGGGGGCACATGTGGTCGTTGTGTCTCCAGCGCGCGCCAAGTCTTGATGATGATCTGGCAGAGTTGCCCGGGTTGAGATAATCGTGTACTGGTGAACGCGGTTGTTCAATGGTTTGCTATATCTGTATATTGCTGTAATATGCGGGGCTTGTTTAAGTGAAATGTGATACATTCCACACAAATTCAGTGCAGACTTTGGGAGTTTGGGGTTGGCTCCCGACATGTTTCCAGTGTAAATGTAAATGGCTCTACGCCTTTATGTGTCAAAGAGTTATCAGTTGAAATGTACAATTTCATACCCCAAATTAACACTTGGGTGTACTTTCATTAATTGTAACACAAGATCCGCTATTTTGTGCACACGGTCTACGGTTTCCTGCACATGTGTGTTCGAGAAGTTTGTCCTCGGAGTTGTATTAGAGTGTACCTGAGGTACTCAGCAGTGGTCCTACTACTGGCCCAGCTAGGGTTTCTTGGCTCTAGGATGACGGGGAACAGTTGCATGGTGTGCGAGACGGTGTTTAAGGACGACAGCAGGTTACAGTCGCATGTCGCTAATGGGGCAATTTGTCGCGAGGAGTTGAAGAGGAAACGAGAGAGTCTTTTGTGGGCGGCATATTTGGAAGCCATTGCATGTGACGGAGAGAGTAGACCTAACACACCACCGGCATCCCGGCTTAAAAATAACGATGGCAGTTTTGTTTCTGCTGCTCCAACAGCTTCGATCCCCGAAGTTAGCCTTGTTGGAGACGCGGATACACGACCTGACGGCGAACCTGCCGAGTCCTCAGAAGACAGCGAAAGGAAGGAGATATTCGATACACTGACGGAGTTGTACCTATTCTTCCGTGACGCCGATCTTTCGCACAGGGAAGTGAACCGTCTGCTGCACATTTTCCGCAACCCGCGCTTCAACCTACGGTCACTCAGACGATGGCGCAACTGGGTGGACGTGCGACGCTGGGGCATGGCGCGAGCTCCAGCCGACATGGTCCCGTGGAAAACGGAGGAGATAGTGGTGCGGGGCCCCAAAGGAATGCAAATGAAGCTGCTTCTGCACTTCCGCGACACAGAGCTGGTTCGTAATGGGAGGCCAACGCAGCTAGCGATGTCGTAATGTAGTGTCGGCCGTATGCATTTCCATGGAATACACGCGCTCACACCTGATTCTAACGCGATGCCCGCAGATTTTGAAGAAGCTGGTGCGAACGTTCTCATCGAAGAAGGGGTTCGTTTGGAAACCAAGGAAGATTCATCGGAAGAAGAATAACGAGAGGGTTTTTGAAGGCCCTGAGACGGGTGATTGGATGCACCCTGCTCAGGTACGAGAATCGGTCAGCCTGTCCCTATTTCATGTGTGCAGCAGAACATGCTAGATGCATTCGAATAACCACATCTCACTATTCAGTGC